AAAACCTTTTGTTCAGAGGTCGCAAATTTGAGCGTTTTATTGCTTTTTTTTAAAAAATGCGCGATTCTTTAATTGATAAACTTGGTTATAAAAATATGACCAAAAGATGTGTATGTTTGTAAACCTTTATTATTTTATATTTTTGGTTGAAATGTTTGAAGAATATTCAAATACTACAATGATAAAACACATGTTTTTGAAACAAAGAAATGCATTTCATAAAACTATATAAGAATATATATATATATATATATATATATATATATATATATATATATATATATATATATATATATATATATATATATATATATATATATATATATATATATATATATATATATATATATATATATATATATATATATATATATATATATTTTTCTGGAAATTTTAAACAAAATTTCCCTTAATTAGTTCCTTTTAGTTAGGTCTATCACTCTTAGTATTTATAAAACCTTTGATAAAATTTGTTATGTTGATTTTCTACATAAGTTCTCTTCATACGGTGTTTTATTCACGTATTATTACTGTGTTAAAACAATACATAAGCAAATAAAAAAATAATAGTATAAATAATTTTAATTTAAAATTGAAAAAAATTAATAGACTTTTTTTAAGTTCTCCAAAAAAAAAAAAATTCAATTAGAGCCATGTCAAACCAACGCGACGAACTCTAATTAAAGCGGGAAGTTACGACGATCTACGGTATGTTATTAATAACTAATCCATTCATTGAGTTAATATTTTGCGTAAGAATCAAGAAATTAAATAACAGTAAAGGTCCGAAACCAAGTCCGATACTCTAAGCTTTCAAGATCAAGACTTTAGGCTTCAAGACCAATACCAAGACTAAGACAGTTAAATATGAGTCTCGAGGCGTCTCGAGACCAAGACTTAGATCTTAAGACCTACATCTCTGGTTTCAGATGACCATTATTTGATTTCTGGTGTTTAGTATATAGAAAAATGAAAATATGTAGTAAAACCTTTTCACTACCTCCGCAAGTCTTTTAAGGTTTTTCTTGGAATTCTCTCGTTTTGCAAACCTTTATTTTATCAAAAGTTTTTTATTAACACGTCTCTTTTACTTAATTTATAGTAAACAATCTAATATAAACCTAATAGAATAAACTAAATATATAAATTATTTTTAATATATAAAATCAAATTACACACTTGGAAAGTGTCACGTGATAAAAATCTTTTAATAAAACTTATTTATTACTAGCATCTACATAATGCAAAAACTAACCAACTCATAACATCAACAAATGATACCAGATAAAGAGTTTTAGATCTTTCGGTTTTTCAATATCTCAGTACTTGGAGATAGATTTACAAAAACTGAGAGGTATGAAAAATCGATTCAGTCAAAATATGAAAATAAATATATATTTTTCAAAATAAATATATATTTTTCAAAAAATAAATATATATTTTTCAAAATTAAAGACCATAGCTTAAACATGCATCAATTTATAAAACAAAATCTTTGGTAATATGACCAGCGTATAGTTATTTTTCCTATAATTAAAAAGGAACTATTGCCCAAAGTTAGAAAAAAAGAAGTTAAAGGCTGGGTAACTCTGATTCTCAAAATAACATTTGCAAGTTAAAAATTCCAGAGCAAAACAAAGATGAAAATACTTTTAACGTGACATTATTCGTAGATGGCATGTTTATTTTTAGAGATTATTAAATTTACAAAGAGTGAACTTGAGGGATGTCAAGTTAGTTGTAAGAAATGAAATTTAAGTTCTTATTGAATAATTAAGGTTCATACACTGCGTGTAGTTGATGATCTCTAAGACTTGCTCATAATTACTAAAAAGTATTATTGAAGATTTGAAGCTAAACATTCTTTTTTCAATAGCGAGCATAAAGTAAAACATTCATGACTAGCCTTACTTTTTTTTTTTTTTTTGGTTTACATTTGTTTAGGTTGTTGTACAACTTTATTTAATCAATAAACTTACAATGATAGAAAATATAACAAATATAAATAAGGTATCTGAAGGATTATCGCAAAGAATCTTAGGGTGAAATGCAAGAAGCGAACTTTAGTCAAGCTCGACATTGCAACCAATAGCGACAGAGTATGGGTTTTCCCCTAAAAAAATACTCTGCCGCTATTGGTTACAAAGTAAAGTTCAAGTCGAACGTTCATAAACGTTAAACAAGGATAAGATAAACAAAAAATAGAGTTGAAAAAGAAAGAGATTGGATTTTCTTTTGATGAGTCTAAGATTTTATACAAAAAAAAACTGTTGTTATCAGGGGTAACAGGGGGGAGCGTTATACCGCAATAAAGGCAATTTTCAAGTTATAATTGACACTTTTTAAGGATTTACTTTATTCTTCTTACTTTATTCTTAGAATCGCCTCTGGTTGTTAAATCTTTTAAATAATTTGACTGCCAACTAATTCGACTAATTTATTATCTAAAGTCGACTTTGAAATTGACTAAAAATCGATTCAGTCGAAATATGTAAATTTCAATATTCAATTCAAAATATTCAACAAGTGCCAATCAGAGTCTTGTTTTCCAGCCTACTGGAAAGCAGCATTTGTTATCCCTATTTTCAAATATCTGGAAAGCAATCTGATTTGTCTAACTACCGTCCCATTAGTCTTTTTCCTATCATAAGCAAGTTTTTTGAATCTTTAATTAACAAACACTTAATCTCTCATCTTGAATCTAATAACTTACTTTCTGATCATAAATATAGATTTTGATCTTTTTGTTCTAAAGCTGATTTGCTAATAGTAATAAACGATAGGTTTTATCGTGCATTAGATTAAGGTGGAGATGTTAGAGCCATCATTCTTGACATTAAATGTCAAAAGCGATGCGAAAACATCTAAATCTATTTTTATCTCCGCCCTATTTTTTTACTTTTTAACATAAAACTTTACATAAACTTACAAAACTAACATAAAACATTACATACTTTATATAAAAGATATTTCAACTTCATATTTATATAAGTTGAAGTTTATTTAAAGTTTTTATTATACTGCAGTAAATTACAATTTATTATTAGTTTCTATACTTTGCTGAAATAAAATTTAGGGTTGGCTTTTCAACTATTACAATTAAAATTCGTTTAAAGTGAATTCGTTTTTTAGATTACTTTTTTTTTTTTTAGCTAAATAAAAAAAAAATAATAATCTGAAAAACGAATTCACTCTAAACGAATTTTAAGTCTATTAGTTGAAAAGCCAAACTTAAACCTAAAAGAAATAGCTATTTTTTTAGCAAATTATAGAAACTAATAACAAATTGTAGTTTATTACAGTTTAATAAAAACTTTAAATAAACTACTCTAGCATTTTTGGGACTTTTATATCCGTAAAAGCTACGAACAATTTTTTCAAAAGTTTATACCAAATTTATTCGACGAAGACTTTTTTGGTGTTTTTTCTTTTTTGGGGTTGTTGGGGTTTTGGGGTTTTTTGGCGTTTTTCTTTTTTGACTCCGGATTAGAGTCCGGATATCCGCAATCGATAATTGTTGATTTAAGTTGCTTTGTTGCTCGGTCGGGAAAAAAAAAATTGAAAATGAAAGTTGTGGTGTAATGTTAACAAGAAAAGATAAAATAAAAAATAGTTCAATTTAGATACTAGTTTATACGTACTTATATGTAATATGTAAAATAAATATTTATTCATTAATTTTAGTTTATATATAAATACGTTTAAAAAAATTAGTTTCTACTGGTGATATGTTTTACTGAGTTCTTGAGAAGAACAGGAAATAATAAAAATGTAAAATTTATCTTATTTCCTGTTCTTCGTTCTTCGAGCTCATTTAAATTTAAAATTAAATTTAAAATTTAATTTTAAATTTAGATCAGCTCCAAAGTTTTAATTAGTCTTTTAAAATTTATAGTAAGCATTAAAATACTAAAAAATATTTAATTCTCCAAGCTTTGCAAAAGGTTTTTTTGTTTGTTTTTTGAATTATTTTTTAATTAAAACTAAGACTTTTTGATAGGCTATTTCTTTATTTATTTATTGCAAAAAAGGGGAATCCAACTCTTCTATAATGTTGCATATAAATATAAAAATAGCATTATGGAAAACTATTTAAACAAAAAAAAAACAAAGTTAAGCTAATTATATATCCATGTATGTATATATATATATATATATATATATATATATATATATATATATATAATATATATATATATATATATATATATATATATATATATATATATATATATATATATTATATATATGTTATATATATATATATATATATATATATATATATATGTATATATATATATATATATATATATATATATATATATATATATATATATATATATATATATATATATATATATATATATATATATGTATACATGCATATATAATTAGTTTAACTTTGTTTTTTTTTGTTTAAATGATTCTCCATAATATATATATATATATATATATATATATATATATATATATATATATATATATATATATATATATATATATATATATATATATATATATATATATATATATATATATATATATATATATACATACATATATATATATATATATATATATATATATATATATATATATATATATATATATATATATATATATATATATATATATATATATATATATATGTATATATATAAATACATACATATATGTATATATATATGTGTGTTTGTGTGTGTGTACAGTGGTGTAGGATGGTTAAAAAAGTCGGGGAGGGGGCTTGAAATAAAAATTATGGGGGCTAAAGCAACCAGAATCAAAATTTCAATGGAAAAAACAGAACTTTTTTCTAAAAGTTATGGGGGAAGAGGGCTATTGCCCTCTCTGCCCCCTGTTTGTACTGAAGTACAAACAGGGAGCATATATTTATGTATGTATATATATATATATATATATATATATATATATATATATATATATATATATATATATATATATATATATATATATATATATATATATATTTATACAAATATTTACCACAGATAGATGCATAAAATAGTATGGAGCCAGCTTCAGTTGATTTAAAAAAAAGAAACATGAAAGCTGGCGAAAAGAAATTATCAAAGGAGCATATTGGCTTTCCAGCAGACTTTAGGTAAAAATAGTTTATCATTATTTACTTTGTTACTTTATATAAATTTGTTTGTATTTATCCTAAAAAGAAATAGAAATTTATTATCTATTTCTTACTTTTATGTCATTATCTATTGCATTACTTTTATTTGTGCAAATATTAAAAGAATTAGATAAGTTTGTTTTTCACAGTTGTTAAGTTGCTGGTTAAAAATTGTTTGTGTTGTGTAATCTATGTTTGATCTTTTGGTTACCCAGTAAGATAAATAAATAATAACTGTCTACCCAGTAAGATAAATTATGATTGGAGTTGGGTGTAAAATCTTTAAAATTGAAGGCGGTTTATGTGGGTCTCATTAGAGAAATGAAGAGGTATTGCAGAGAAATGCCTACATTTTCTGTCTGCAAAAGACACAACTAGTTAAGTATCAACTAATTCAGGATTATCTTATTATGGTTTGGTTCTACATTTATCTAAAATAACTGATGAGATAATAATTTTCTTAATAATTAAAAGACTTAGTAAATGAATTAGTGTAATTAATTGTCTGTGATATAAAACTGGTTAAAAATATGTGTAAAAAGAAGATTTTTCTTGTAAATTGATTAAGCTTTTCAGATTTTGTTTCAGTTTAAAAAAAAAAAAAAATTTGAAACAAAAAAAAAAAAAAAAAAAAGTTTCTCAGTTTTTCAAATTATTTAGTTGTGTGGCATTTTTTTCATTAAATTTCTTCAAATATTTTGAATATTTTTTCAAGGCTGGATAATAAACAAATCTAATCTCTAAAGTAGAAAAATAAACATGAAAAAAAATGTTTTTTTTAATCTTATCATCGTTTTTAAATTTTGAGTTTTATTTTTAGACATGTCAGCCATGTTGGTTGGGATCCTAACGGAGGCTTTGAAGTATATGTTGTTTAACTTAAATTATTTATTAAATTTGCTTTTTATTTGCTACGAAATAATTTTATATCAGTTTTGCAATTTTTTTGTTATTATCACTATACTTAAATTCACCTTTTTTTTTAGATTAATAATATTGACCCACAATGGAAGAAATTATTTGGTGCAGTTGGTGTTACGGAAAAGCAACTTGAAGATGAAGACAATGCAGAGTTAGTCAGCAAGTTTGTGGAATCTCATGATGGTACTAAAAATATTAATGTTTTTATAGTTTTACAAAACTAGTTTTTCAGTGCTGAAATTTAATGGTTATTTTTATTATGTCATTTTTTGATAATTTGATGATATTTCCAGAAATAATGAAATTTCAATTCTTGCTATATTTGTTTTTAATTTTTGAAATATATATTTACTGAATAATGCTTAGGAGAAGAAAAAAATTTCGGCTTTCCAAAAAAGTTTTGTTTCATGATCAGTATTTTTATCATTATTTTTTCATTGTCTGTATTTCTATGGTTGCAATTTTTGTGCTTTTTTTGTTTTTGTTTTTTTTAAGCCAATTCTCTTTTAATTTACTACTAAAAATTTAGCAGATATTATCTACATTTTCAATAAATGCTTCTCAGCTAAAACTGCAAAACAGAATACTTACACTAAATACACTTCATTGTTGTTATTGTTGTTATTATTATTAAATTCATTTAAGGTCATCTCTAATAAGTAAAGGGAGTAAGCAATCTTGATGGCATGGCATGTACTGCAGAATTTCTAATTTGTTTAAATTTCCCAAAAGTTTAAAAAATGAAAACATAGATTCAAAATCTTACGCTAGACACATAAAAATGTTACGCCAGACACATAAAAATGCTATGCTATACACATAAAAATGTACTGTTAGTATGTGCAAGCTATTTTAACAGTCTAACTATTGTATTAAAGATTTCTTAAATTGTTTAAAAATGTGTTAAGCACATTACTTATAGTTAAGTATTTATTTTTAATGCAATTGTTTAGAGTGTTTTATTCAACCATTAAACTTTTGGTAACAAAATTTTATTGATATTAATAGAAGTTTTAATAGGGTTGATGGATGAAGTATTAATGTTATTATTATTACATAATATCATTTATGACATAATTCAAAAGCCATGTTTTTAAATGATATCTTTTTTTAAGTTAATTTATCTCCACAAGGCCAAGAAGACCACTACAGTCAAGGAGGTTACTTGTTGTAATAGTGGCTATAACCCTCTCTCAACTCAAAAACTACAAAATTCCATCCTTGACAAACAAGGTCGCTGTGCGGAGTAACAAATTAAGCGCGATACTACCAGGGACATGGTGGGAATCAAACTCGGAACCATTCTCTTATGAAGCGAGCGATCTACTACTACACCACTACAGCATAATTTTTATTCAGTAATAACCAAAAAATAATTAATAATTGCTCTATAAAGCAATTTTATTAAGGTATAAAAATACTCCATATTTAATTTAGATTTTGCTTTTATTAAAATTAGATAGTTTTACTGCTAAAGAAGGTTTTTAGCTTGACTAATTAATTGCATTATTCAGATTTTTCAAATTTTTTTCATATGCACAAACATAAATTGCCATTAATAAGTTTTGACATACCTATCTGTATTCTTACTCATACCTGAATTTATTGTCAAAATGTTGTATCTCTAATGATTCAGCTTTTTTAGTAGCTCTTTTATAAAAATTGCTTTCTCATTTAAATGACACTACATTTTCGTAATCAATACTTTTTTCGCAACCTTTTTAATGTTCAGCATTATTATTATTGTGGTTATATAAATATTATGATGATTTCTGTTTAAAATTTTTATTTAGGTTCAACATATTCATCTTCATTACCTGTATGTGACAATGGACAACCATTATTTGTTCCTACAAAAGCAGCAACACTGCCTTCTAAATCAACAGGTTTTTTTGGTTTGTTTTTTAGTTTTAATTTAGGTTTTTTTTTTAAATTAAATAAAAAAATGAAACTTTGATTTCATATTATTTGAATCAAAAATTTTATTAGGTTTTTAATGTTACTTTGTTTTGTTGATAAATGATCTCGTATATATGATTGAAAATCTTCATTAGGTACAAAATTTTCTTCTGCTCCTTCACCATGCGATGACACACAACCATTACCTGCTTCTAGAAGTGTTACTCTGCCTACTAAACCAGTGAGAAGTGGTAACTTTCAATATTCGTATTTTACTTTCAATATTTGTAATTCATTTTTTATAAGTTTAGCTTAACTTTAGCTTGGTTTAATATCTTTATACCCCAGAGAAGAATAAATAAATGAATACATGAAAAAAAAAGAACAAATGCATACCAATAAAAACTAACTTGTTATTTTAGTCTAAGCTTGGCTTCTCCATTTTATTGTAGGCCGAACTAACTAAAAAATAAAATGAATAAATGAAAAAAATAAGAATAAATGCATACCAATAAAAACTAACTTGTTTGTTTTAGTCGAAGCTCGGCTTCTCCGTTTTATTGTAGGTCGAAAAGTCAGCATAATATATGCCACAATCTACAGACTTGATTATTTATTCAAGCGTGTTTTATTTGTAAGAGTTTCAGTATATGATGTCATTGATTTTTTTGTTTGTTTATATAATCCATCTTCTAAACACTAAAAAAATTCAATGACATCATGTACTGAAACTCTTAGGAATAAAACTTTTCTTACTATTTTAAAATAATCTCATTGGTAATTTTGTAAGTTTTTGTAAAATTTGTAAGTTTTGTGTAAAATTTGTAAATTTTGTAAATTTTTGTAAAGGCGTAATGACGTAATTTAATTATGTATATAACATAAATTAAATCTTAGCTTTTGTTTCAAATAAAAAGAAATCAAATCTGAACTGTTAAGAATCATTAAATTCTGTTGGTTTTAACAATTTGTCAATTAATAGTAAATTTTCGTCCAAAAATAACTTGATTTATCAAAGAAGCATAAAAGATAAAAATGAAAAAATAAATCGAAAAAAATATAGTTTACAAACAAATTAATTTCAATAACAATGCCAGCTTTTTTTTACAAAAAAAGTTCAAATAAAAAATTTTCTTTTCATCTTTTCAATGCAAGAAACCTTGCCAATAAACTTCATGAGTTATATTTATATGTCAAGGCAACAAAACCTGCTGTATTCTGCGTTTGTGAGACATTTTTCAATAATAAACTTTCTTAAAAAGTATCCAAAAAATTACTAAATTTATTGCAAAGACCATATTTTTTGTGGAGAAGTCGCAATTTACTGTAGAAGATCGTATTAAAATTGGTGGAGGAGTTGCAATTTACTGTAGAAGACCGTATTAAAATTGGTGGAGGAGTTGCAATTTGTTGTAGAAGATCGTATTAAAATTGACATTTAAGTAGAACAAGTACAGATTAAGAAAACAGATACTGCTATTGATATCTTCTGTGTTGATATGATTTTTAAATTACAGAAACTCCCTTTAATAAATTGCTATAGTCCACATTTTTATACAATAACAGATGTTGCTTATCTTAAATTTATGATTTCAATTATTTATAATTTGTGTTACTTGGTTTCGCAAACTTATTTACCTAAAATAGTTTAACTAAGCTATGGTTAAGGTATTATTTTATTAGGTTTCACCTAATAAAAAGTGTCATAGTATATTCTTAAATTTGGTTAATAAAATTCATAGTATATTCTTAAATTTGGTTAATGAAATAACATATCTCTTATAAGTGATATATCTGTTGAGTGTCCTCTTAGCACTAGCAACCATTGAGTTTTCTTATGTCTGTACATTTGAGATTATTAAAGCATTTTTCTAAGGCTTTTTGGTTTTTAAATTTTTAAAAATTAAATAAAATAGTGCAATGTCAATAAACACTGTGTCTATAAAGTAAATGAATGAATGAAATCTTGAATGTTTGTATTATAAACTATATTTGTTCCATATGTACTTTGTTTTCTTATTTTGGAGGTATATTGTCAGTGTCCATTTATTGGACTTATATGTCCTTTAGAACATGTAATTTTTAAACTTGTTCTAATTAATCATTATTCACTTATTTATTATTTATTTAATACTGCAATACAATAACAATAAATATTGGATTGATTTTTATAATATAATAACAATATCTAATAAAAAATATTATTTTCTAATGTTCGAGTACAACAACAGTAAATGATGTAATTCATCTTTTTAATACAATAACAATTTGCAAAATTATTGTAATGTTAAAAATTGGAAATGTTTTAATATTCTCGTAAACTTAAAGTAGGGTGAAACTAACATGTAATCTTGAAGTATTGTACAATTAACATTTTACTATTGATTACTAGGCAACTTTAAATATTGAAAGTTTACGGGGTCAAAAAAACAGAAAATACCTATTTTGTTACAAATGAAAAAGATTTTACAAACCAAAATTAAGTAATTGAGTTTAAATGTTTATGTGAATACTATGTAATATAACGAGAAATTATACTTTTTAACACTATAAGATAGCAATTCAAAATAAAATATGTTTTGATTTTTTAACCCATTAATGTCATTTACTTTACCTAATGAACTGAGAACCACAATTATATCGCAAAAAAACATTTAAAAAAAATATTTGAGTCTACAAGGCTAAAGTCTCTCAGATAATAAAAATTGTGAAGTTATTCAAAAATTTTGTAAAACTAAATTTAAAAAATTCTTTTGTCATAGCATAACAGTGTTATAATCAAATTATTTTTACAGATATTACGCATTATAAAGCAGAAGCAACACTATCTTATAGCAATTTTAAAAAAGGAAAATCGAAAGTAGTAAAGAGACTTTCTAAGGAAGATATTGGTTTTGCATCTGACTTTAGGTAATGATTTTGTATATAAATAACATTACTAATATAAATTTATTTATCTCATTTTTTAAAATTAAAAATAAAATTTTATATCCAAGTTATTTAGTTATTTGACTATTTATATTATATGTCTTATTTGTCTTATATATATCTTAAATCAAAACTAAAGTTTTATATCCAGGTTATATAATTATTTTTCTATATTATTTGTCTCATGTCTTATGTTTTATATCTTATTTATTTATATCTTATGTCTTATTTATATCCGTATCTGTTATTTAGTGTGCACTGTGTTTTTTTCCTCAGATAAAAGATAAAAAAAACATTTGAAGGCTTTAATAAGTTTTCATAATTATTTTAAAAAAAACTATAAATTATGTCTACCTTCATAAAAATTTATCATGAAAAAACCGTGAAAAAAAACCCATGGAATTTCATTAGCATTTTGGAACATAATAAGATAATGTTTTCCATAGGTGTTCTATGGAAAAACCACAATCTATGGATTTTCATGGTAGCTGTGTATCAATAGAAATATCATTTGTTGTTTTCATGGGTTTAAACACATAAAAACAACACGTGGTATTATTCAGAAATACTATAAGTTATTTCTGTGGGTTTACCATGGAAAACTGCGATCTATTTATTTCCATGGTAGCCATATATCAATTAAAATATCATAGACCATTGAGTCCAAATGATAATTGGTATTTTTGTTGAATGTGTTTCTATATAATTAATATTACAATATTATATATATTATTGAATTTTCTATGTTTAATGAATGATCTATGGATTGCTATGATGGAATGAGATCATTAACAAAATAAAAAAAATGTTGGTGAATCCAACGAAATCTTTAAAAAGCCAATAACTCTAATATACCTAAAATACTACGGTTTGACTATAGTTTATTATTTATTGCATACAATGTAATGTTTCTAGTTATGAAAAAACAACTGCATTAAATGCAAATCCCACATTTCAAGTAATATACATAATACTGTAATATTCATTATATAGAAACATATTTGATGAAAAATCAAAAGCAATAATTTGATACAAATTGGAATTGACAAATAAAGTAATTTTTGGAATAACATTTAATAAAATAATTTTTATCAATAAAATAATTTTTGGAATAACAAAGTATCATTGAAATAAACAAATAAAATAATTTTTTTTTTGCCAATAAATAATACAATTTACAAGTTAATATATAGTTAGTATAAGTTAAAATATATAATATATAAGTCGTTAGGAAATAACTGCATTGAATGCAAGTGCCATATTTGCAGTAATATACATGTCTCAGGCTTGGACAGAAATGGCGATAGAGCGCTATTGCTGACCAAACAAATAATTTTATTTTTTGACAACTTGACTACGATTGTTTATATGTTTTGATAATTTAAAAATTACAGAAATGCTCTGAATGTCGAAACGCTAAGCTAAACCTAAACTTGAAAAAAAGTTTTAAAAAAAAACTAATGAAAAAAAAAATCCTAACGAAAAAAGAAACAAAAAGCAAATTCCTATTATCAAATCTTATTAGCACAAAAGTAAAAATAAAAACTTAAATTCGAACTTTTTGTTACGTTTTTAATAACGTATGAAATAAACGTTATGTTAAAAACTTTAATGTTTAAAGTTACGCAAAACGTTTTTAAATAAAGTACTAATTACTGCTAGTGATTGTTTAATAATTGAGCAAATTTTATTAAATTTATTAAAAAGTGTTGTATATAGTATTTTTTAAAAGTTGCAAAAACAAAAATTGTTTAAAAAAATAACGTAGTGTTTTTATAATAGTAATTTTTAATAATTTCATGCTCTAATTAGTAAGTCTAATTAAAAAAAAAGTTTTTCAATTTTTTTTTATTTGTAAAAATAGAATAAAATAATAATAAATAAACTGCCAACAAGCATTTTAATTTAATTTTAATTTGAGCATTATAATTTTATTAATAAGCGCTTCGCGTAATGAATTTAAAAATTATTATAAAAGATTTAAACTCATTCCTATCAAAATTAAAACAAAATAAATTTAAAAAATTTTTTCAAAAAATAAAATGTTTATTTAAAATATTTTAAAAAATTGTTTAATTATAATTTATAATAATTGTATAATAAAATTTATATAAATATAAATTAATTATAAAAATTAATTGTATGAACGTTACAAAATACTTTATATATTTTCATTTTTATCATCAAAATACATTCTTATATAAGTAAATAAAGTTATTTTATATTATTGTATAATTCACATAAATGTGTAAAAGCTAGTAGTCACAAAAGATTTTGAACTTATTCATAAATTAAAGTAATTTAAAAAAATTCTTTCTAAAAATAATGGTTTAAAAATGTTTTAGGAAAACATGGAATAATAGTTTTTAAGGTTTAAATTTATCATAAAAAATACATGCCTACATAATAAAAACTTATATATAACGTTTTTTAAGAAAAGATCAACGATTAAAAGATATTTATTACTTAACACTTTTTTTTGTTGCATTCAAATTGTTAAAAAATCAAAATAGCCATGGTCAAGTTGTAAAGAAAAAAAAAATTAGCGTGGTCAGTTACAGAGTGCGATCGAGCGCCATTCCTGTTCAAGCCTGATGTATTGAAAATATCTATATTTCCAGTAATATACATGTATATATAATATTATTGTATAGAAACATATTTGATAAAAAATCAAAAATAATATTTGAATAAAATTTGCCTGTTGTGATATTGCAGTTAATATAAGCATTTATCAAAAAATTAACTATAAAATATGTTTCGAAGTACAAAAAGATTGATAATATTAAAAAAAAAAAATCAAATTAAGATATAAATTGCATTTTTAGCAAAATGTTATCTTGGCTTTTAGTAAATGAATAAAAGAAGTAAGTTCCAATAATGAAACTATCTATTATTCATTTTTTAACAATAAACACCAATAGGAAGGTAAGCCAAGCTGTCAATCAACACAAATAAAATGGGCATTATTATTTGTTTACAATTATAGGGTTAATTTATTGGTATATTATTGCTATATATATAATTTATTTGCCAAAAGTCCTTGCATTTTATAAATAATTTCATATCACTTTATTTATAGAATAATATATAAAAGTTATAACACACATCACAGCTAAATATTGCTATTCAATACATTTATTAAATATTACTCTAATACATTTTCATCAAAGATGAAAACTCCTTCTATTAAAGATATATAGTTTTTGTTTTTATTAGAATATATCCCATGAAAATATATTCTAATAAAAACAAAAACTGTTCATTTATTACTATTGTAATAAATACAAACTCTTATCCGTGAAATGGTATATATATATATATATATATATATATATATATATATATATATATATATATATATATATATATATATATATATATATATATCTGTACTAGTTTTATATCTTTGTGTAATTGTATGCAACATTTAAAAAAATCAAAAAATGTAAGATAAATGCAAAAAAAGATCTGGTGTATAAAAGTTTATTTTGCCACGAATTGACGTCAAAGCGCAAAAATTTTTGGATTAGCGTTAAATAGCTGAGGCTATTATTCTTTAGTTTTTAATCATAATCATAAGAATGAACTTTTTTTTATGATTATGTTTTACTGGTCTAAAATCTTCTTAGTTCCATTTGTATAGTGTTACATCTGTAAGTGTAAATGTCTTCAGCATATGTTGAGTTTGCAGACATTATATGGAATAATTGCATATAATATATCTATAAAATGAAAAAACTTTAAAATTTCATCTAAAAAATATTTTTTGCTATATTATTATTTTTTTGCTATAAATATATATATATATATATATATATATATATATATATATATATATATATATATATATATTATATATATTTAACATCTTTGCTTCCAACAAGGCTGCAAGCAACCACTAATTAGTGTTGGAAGTTACTGGAAGAGAAAAGATGAAGATTGTAGAGCAAGATAACGATTGACAGACGACTTAAAAGATTGCAAATTATATAAATCAGGAAAGCAAGATGAAGGAAGTTAATTCCAAAGAACTGATGTTCGAGGAAAAAAACAAGACGAATAAGAGTTTTTGGAGCACTTAGGAACAGTAACAGAAAAAGGATGAGATAATTTTAGTAGATGGCACAAGGGACGCTAGCTCTTTAGAGCAGTGCCCATTATAGTATTTGTAGAAAAGAGAAAGAGGTTTAAGGTTGGCTGCAAGAGCAGGTCCAACTATGTTTACAATGCGTTTTTGCACCTTGTCTAAAAGAGAAAGGGCATCATTAGAAGATCCACCCCAGATATGGCAACAGTATTCCATACAAGGCCGGATTTGAGATTTATAGATATAGAGAATAGAATCCAGAGTAAGAAAGTGACGAGCTCGATAAAGAGAAGCGACTTTAGCAGATGCTAATGTTGCAACGGATTTGATATAAGGTTTCCAAGAAAGATCAGAAGTAAGAGTTAATCCTAGAAGATGAAGGGTAGGAGACTCATCGAGTACATTACCGTTTATAAATATAGGAAGGTCTAAATTATTGCGATAACGATTGGCTGAAAAAAATTGAGTTTTATCTAAATTAAAGTTCACCAGCCACTGTGAGCCCCATGCTGTAGCAGAAGTGAGATCCTTTTCAAGCTCAGATGCCCCCTGCAAGTAATCAGAGGGAGTTGGCTTCTTATTGTGACAAGAATAAATGGTAGTATCATCAGCGAACAATGCCACCTTAGATGTGAGAATATCTAGAAGATCGTTAATGTAAATTAAAAAGAGTATTGGGCCAAGGATTAAACCTTGAGGAACCCCTGAGGTTACAGAAAAAGAAGAAGAGTGCTGTCCATCAAGGACAACTTTTATACTACGATTGGAAAGAAAGGATTCAATAATCTTAAAGATGTTGCCAGATTTTTCTTCTTACACCGTAAGAAGAAAGCTTATGGAGAAGACCAGCATGCCAAACTTTATCAAATGCTTTAGAAATGTCAAAAGCGATGGCCTTAACCTCTCCACCTTTATCTAATGCACGATAAAACCTATCAGGTATTACTATTAGCAAATCAGCTTAGAACGAGAAGATCGAAATCCATATTAATGATCAGAAAGTAGGTTATAAGATTCGAGATGAGAGATTAAGTGTTTGTTAATTAAAGATTCAAAAACCTTGCTTATGATAGGAAGAAGACTAATGGGACGGTAGTTAGACGAATTGGATCGCTCTCCAGAATTTTTAAAAATAAGGATAACAGATGCTGCTTTCCAGCAGGCTGGAAAACAAGATTCTGATAAGCACTTGTTAAATAGTTTTGAAAGGATAGACGACAGCTTCGGAGAATACTTCTGCAAGACTATAACAGGTATGTTGTCTGGGCCGCAAGTTGTAAAAGAGTCTAAGCAGGAAATCACTTTAGATACAGTAGCTGGAGTGATACGGATGTTGAGCAGTGGATCAACCTGTTTGACGGCTATATCAGGTAGAACGCAACTAGCGGAATCAAGTTCAAAAATTTGCAAACAAATTTTTTTTTTTAATTAGTATAAATACTTCAACAATATTTGATAAAAACAATATTTCGACAATATTTGAAAAAGTATCAAAAAGTTCAGTTTGTAATAGACTTACAAAGACCCGTATTTTTTTGGGTCTGATTTCAGCTAGTATCGTAATAATGTTTCCTAAACCAGATTTTACAACTAACTTTACAGCTTCCCTAGTATACTTTTTAAAGCCATTTTTTAATACTAGCTGTCATGACCCGTCAAATGCGGGTCTTGATATATCTATTTTACCTTGACCTTTTCTATTCTTGTTCTTTACTTAAATATTTTTTTAGTAAGCAGTGAAAAAAATAACTATAGAAAAATTATACTTATTGTATACTTTGAAAGCTATGAAAAAAAAAAATTTCTGTAATAGTTAATTTAAAAAAATATTAAACATTTTGGTAGACTTTGTGCCAATCGCTATTTATCAACAGATTGGATATTACTAATTGGATATTTGTACCAGTCTAAATGATATTTAGAAGATCTGCTTGAAATGTGCTAATTAATTACTATTGGTATAAAAAGTTTCAAAAAACAAGTATGTGAAATAACAGACTTACTTAAGTATGTGAAATATTGGACTTACTATGACTCTGTACAATACTGGTCATGGTAAGTATATTCCACACTGGCCATTTTAATAGTTTCGTTTTATTTCAATAGTTTTAAAAAATGTGCAAAATATAAAAGTCTTTGTTTTGAATTTACGATTAATGTTCCATACTTTATAACTTCTATAAATAAAAAATAAAAAAACAGGGACAGATTATTTTATTCTTTAATAAGTTTTTATTAATTTTTTTCAGACCATCTGCAGCTTATAAGGACTCTTGCCCTGTTAATTTTAAAGAAAATTAAAGTTTGCATGTAAGATTTTTTTTCTAAAAGAAAGAAAGTTGTCTCTTTAATGTGCAGTCTTAACTAATTACTAAGGACATTGATAACTTGAGTATCTCTATTATGACACTATCAGTGTTTTTATGTTTTTAGAAATTTTTAAAAGCTTTTTAAAAATCTCTACTTTTCATTTGTTTATATATAATATCTTTATATGTAAGCATATAATATCTATAGGCTTTTAAAAATGTTTTAATTTCTATTCTAGAAAATAGGAAAATATTTAAAAAAAAAAAAAAATTAAGTGTGTAAGCGAAAGGATTTGAACCCACGCGAAGCACTTCAACCATTTTGGCATGCTATAGTGTTATCTTTTAACAGTATTTAATAGTCTATAACTCTAAATAAATAAAAAATAAAAAAAGGAGGGGGGGAGGGTGGAGAGCTTTTGTCCTAAATTTAAGTCCACATCTTATGTGCCTTATGAGATGTGTGCCCTCACTTTCCTCTGCAATATGCTAAAAAAGTAGTGTAAAATATATCTAAAATAAATAAATAAAAATAATGGAATGATAAAAGAAGTAAAATCATATCAACACCACAAACCAATTTATATGCTGCTGATGCATTTCTAGAGTATTGTTAAAAATATTTGCTGCTGATGCATTTCAGACAATAAAGGTAAAATTATAAAAACAAACAATAAAATAAAATAAAATAAATATATTTAAATGTTTATATATTTTTTAAAGATCCTTTTAATCAAAAAAAGTAACGTTTTCATGAACAGATAAGAATATATCAATAAAGAACATACACAGTAAAAAATTGATTTTATAGTTTTTTCACGAATTTTTTGTAGGTTCTTATTAGTTACCCCCTAATTCAATGGTTATTGTTGATTATTATGAAAATTATTAAATGCAATTTAAAGTAATCCCAAAATCTTAACTGATAATAAAATATTATTCTGACATGGAGAACCGTAAACACCGTCACAGCAACAAATTTTTTTAATATTTTGCATGTTGTGGTGACTGAAATTTTGCTGGTGTTAAATTTTTTATAAGCATAACTTAATATTAAAAAAAAAAGAAACTAAATTGTTATTTTTTTACAAACAAAATTTAAAAAAAAAATTTAATAAAAATAGGCATATTAACTAAAAATATTTAATTATACCTTCGTTTGGTAGATGTCATTAAGTGTTTCCTTCTTACTTTAACTCCAAATTGAATTAAAGTAAGAAGGAGAAAATCAAATCAAATTGAGTTGTTATCTAACGAGTCAGACAAACTTGCCATTGATGCAGAAAAGAAAAGTGACTTTACGCTTTTAAAAGATTCAAATAAACAAAAAAAGTTATGTAAAGCAAAGCAGAAAGAAATTGACGAGTTAGATGTGATTGAAAAAAAGTCGAATAAGAGTTAGACAGTATTTTCCATCTGGCATTGTTCTTTGATGATTTATTATATCAAAAAGGCCAAGAATTAAATGTTTCATTTTAAGAATTTGAAAAAACTCTTATTCGAGTTAATTTTCAACAATTCAAGTTTATTTTCAGTTTATTATATATATATATATATATATATATATATATATATATATATATATATATATATATATATATATATATATATATATATATATATATATATATATATATATATATATATATATATATATATATATATATATACACACAATATATATATATATATATACACACACAATATATATATATATATATATATGTATATATATATATATACATATATATATATATATATATATATATATTTATATATTGTGTGTATATATATATATATATATATATATATATATATATATATATATATATATATATATATATACATATATATATATATATATATATATATATATATATATATATATATATATATATATATATATATATATATATATATATATATATATATATATATATATATATATATATATATATATATACACTCAATATATATATGTGTTTTTTTTTTGGAGCCCTGAGAAGTCATTATGGTCTTACAATAAGGCACCGCAGAAAAATATTTAATTAGAAGTTAATGCCTCCTTCCTAACTGATGTTGCAAAATATGTCTAGAGGTGGGTTTAAACCACAGATACCTAGTTTCTAAGGCAAGCGTGCTACCACTGCGCTACTCTATTTTATGCTTTAGGTTTTGTGTTTTATTAGAAAGATTTATTTATGAAAACTTTAGTATTAAGTTTCAAGTGGTCATAAAGTTTTTATTCTATATCTTTTTAAATGGTTTATTTCAAAGGAAAACGTGACTTTTAAGGAATTAATTTTCCGAATTTTTTATAGCTAAAGTCCTGGAAAGTCCTGAAATTTTTTTTTTTCAGGGGAACTATCCTGGAAAAGTTCTGGAATTTTTTTGTGAAAATCTGGATTTATATTAACGTATTTTAATATTTATTTTAACCTATTTTTATAAAATACGTTAACATTTTATTTTAGCCTATTTTTACAAAATACGTTAAAATAAATTGTTTTATTCAAATGCCACAATCACGATTATATTGCGTATCTTTTAGGCATATTGGTCATGTAGGTTTTGATAGTTCATCTTACGCTCAAAGTGGTTTTGAAGCAAGTATTTATTATATAAGTTCTTCATTTAATATTTATCATTTTTAAACATGTTGTCTTGGCAACTGTTTTTTGTGTTTTTGTGTTCTTTGTCTTGTTAATAAAACAGTTATATTAATATGATTTTTTATACTATTCAATTTTTAATATCGAGATAATGCTTTATTATATATTATCTTAAGTAATTCATTGTTTAATTCATTGTTTATATCAGTTATATAAAAAATTGATTTGTTTTGTTCATTAGTAAAGCATTTTATAAACATACAATGTAATACCATACTATACATGCTTATATATAACATATTAAAAAATATTATTATAAATAAAATAACATAAAATAATAACATATCATTTTAGTTGTGTTATTTTTTAGTCTAGTGATGCTGAAAACTCTATTAATAAACAGGAAGAACCTGATCAAAATTTTTTAATACCGTGTTATACATGGTTGCATATAATAACATAAAATAACATAACATAATATAATAATGTATTGTTTATTTTAGTTTTTTATTATTGTTTTTTTTAGTCTAGCGATGCTGAAAATCCTATTAAAGAACAGGAAGAACCTGATCAAAATTTAGGTAGAGAATCTAATTTTAATTATTTGTATTTTCTTAAAATTTGGCTGATATGTTTTTAGGGGTATATGTTTATGTGTTTTACCATTATTGGTTGAATAAGTTGTTGGCATAAAAATATTAGAAATTTCTAGATTGTTAAAATTTTCAAATTTTTTTAAATTAACTAATTTATTTCTATAAACTAATTTATTTCTATAAAATAAATAAAATTATGAATATAAATCTCTTAGATTTTTTGATGTTTCATGTAAAGCATAATAAGGTTAGGCCACAAGCCTTCATAGAGAAATTTTAGTTTTTTATTAAACCTTTGGGTTATTTTTTTATGTAACAATTTTTAGGTAACAATTTTTATCTTAACAAAGTGATCATGGATTAAGTATATTTTCTGCAAAGTGTATTGGTTTAACTATAAAGTTTAAAGAAAATTTTAATTAATTTAAGGAAATTTTCAACTAGTTTACAACTAGTTTTAAACTAGTTTTTCATTGTAAAGAAGAATTTTAAACACATCAGGTACATAAGACATCAATGAAGAGTAACACATCAGGTAAATAAGACACATAAGTAGACTTAGGGTACAATAGACAGTGATGTGCTATAACCCTCTAATTCCAGAATGGCTTCTAATATAGATTTCAGAAGTTGGAAAGCTAAATCTGTCTTTTTCTAAATTGTATTTTTCAATCTCATTTCTTGAAGTTAACTCTTTTTTTCATTTATATGTTTTTCAAGGTATTTTCGTGCTTTCTCATCCAATTACTGCAAATTGAAAGTAATCACAAAGTTAAATATTACATTTTACTATGGAATTTTACTAAGTTAAGGTTAAATTTGAGTTTGCTTATTTTTGTTTAATTAAATTTTAAAATTTGTTAAATGTAAGCTAACTGACTAGAATACTATATTTTATTTTGCTTCAGTGTTCCAGATATTATACTGTTCTTCTTCATTACATCACAAACTAGTAAATCTAAACCATGAGAATTACCGGATATATGCTGATATCTAAATCATGTTTATTTTCTATCAATATCCAAACTGCAACCATGTTAGATGCATTATCATTGCAAAAAGCTCACTTTTTTTTAATATAATGATTTTATCCTCAATTAATTTCAAACATTTCATAATTTGGTAATGTCCAGTGTCATAGTTTACATTCACATTAATATTTTTTTGTTTATAATAGGTAAGTAACTAGTATAACCTTTTTGTTTGAATCATTTTTGTTGAAAACACAAAACCATATTACGCGGACAAATGTTTCATTAGGAGATTTGTTTGTACAAAAAATTTATGCAAAACTAAATGCAATTTAATATTTATATATATATATATATATATATATATATATATATATATATATATATATATATATATATATATATATATATATATATATATATATATATATATAAGTGTGTATATATATATATATATATATATATATATATATATATATATATATATATATACACACACATATATATACACACACACACACATATATATATATATATATATATATATATATATATATATATATATATATATATATATATATATATATATATATATATATATATATATATATATATATTAGGGTGACCATTATACAAATAGAACATTTATTTTTTTGTTACTTTCATGACCTTACCCCTCAAAGTTGTTCCTTTTATGATATCTAGAAAAAGTTTTAGTATTTGGAGGTAGCTCAATCTATTTGAAAAAACACATGAATCACGAGTCATAAAATATAAGACTTTTAACAATAATATCAAACTTTTTTTCAAGTGTTTACTGTTTATATTTATTGCAAATCATCAACCTATATTATAATTTACAAATTTTAAGGTTAAAAAATTTATACAAAAAGTCACTAAACAAATAGAGCAACAGATATTTGAGTCAAACAGTCTTCTAATTTGAAATTAATTGCCACCGCACGAAAAAAGCGCCAGCTGTAGTATTGGCAGGTGTGTGGGTGGTTGCAAAAATGCAAAAGCACAAAATGTTAATGTCTGACTACAGTCTGTTTTTGACTGTCAGGAAAGGCTCAACGGTGATGTTCTTCAAGGACTTATAGTAAAAACTGCATTTGATCCTTGTCTCAAGTGACCAGGCCACTATACTCTTGAACAAGAGCCACCCTACGTTCTGCTTGATCATTAACAACCTAAGCATGTAAGTTGAATTGAGTTACTGTACTAAATGCTCACAAGCATAACAAGAAGTACAAATTAACTTTTTTTGATAACTGTTATCTCTATTATTAGCAAGTTGTGGCATGACAACAAGGTTTCTACCTCTTTTGCGGTGAGCCGAGTTTCTGTAAGTGCTTTTTCTTCACTGCCTTCCAGTGCTGCTTCTGTTAGATCACTGTCATTATCCAAGCCACTGGTTGATGACACAAAAATTATAATCTCACTGTTTGTTCAAATGATTCATTCATCCGTTAAAATCTAACCACTGCTTTATCATGTCTTTCTACTGCCCCATTCTCTTTTGCGGCACACTTTGTATTGACACCTGCCATTGATCCTTGCCTGCTTTTTTCTCTCTGTCCTATTAAAAACTCTTTTTCCTTTACAATTTTCATCATTTTTAGGGATTCAGCATGCGCCACATCGAAGTCCACGTCCTCTGGAGTTGAAATGAAATTATTTTCTCTTTAGGGGGTAAGACAGACCAATTTTAAAACTTCAAAAATAATGGTCACCAATTATTTTCTTCCATTTGAGTTTCTAAATAAAAGTATTTGAATGGTGTGACACTGGTATTAAAAACAATTATGCAGAAATAAAATATAATTTTTTTTTAAACAAATTGTTTTAGATATTATTTATTTCATATATTTAAAAATATATTTTTAAACCATTAAAAAGAACTTAATTAGATGAATTGATTTTCATTTTTAAATGTTTTCTTAAAACATTTAAATAATCTTCTTAAAATTTTTAATTGCCAACATAATTCTTCTGGTATTGACTACATTACCAGCAGAAAATATTATCCAAAATTCTTATTGCATTCTGTTTCTCATTATTTTATATTCATTTCATAATTTCACAGCAACACTGATAATAACTAATTTTATTATTTCAAGTCATCTTTCTTTTCTACACTTTTTCACTTTGTTTTTCTGTGGTTCGAAAATTCTCAAATTAGATAACTAAAATACAGTATTTAGTTTTGAGTAAGTTTTTAGTTATTTTAAAACTTTTAAAACGTTTTTCGATTTCAGTTGTTTCAGTTCAGTTTTTTTTTTTTTTTTATTAAAGTAGATTGGTTCAATTCAGTTTTTTTGGTTTGGTTTTCACCAAAAAGATGGTTTGGTTTAGTTAACCCCATGGCCTTAATTCCCAGTTAACAAACTTTTTTTATTAAAGTTAAATCACTTTTTTTAAACAAATACCAGGTTTATTTTGTGGGGTTTTGTAGAAATATAATAGCACTCTCATCATACAAGAGTAAAATATTTACAGAGTGATAAAATATATAAAATATTTACAGAGTGATAAAATATATAAAATATTTACAGAGTGATAAAATATATAAAATAGTGTTACATTAGATGAGAGCACAATATTAAATTAAGTAAAAATTAAAAACAAAGTCAAACAACAAATTGTTGTAATAGAAATTAAAAGTTGTTATAAAATTAATAAATAAATAACAAATTGTTATAAAAGCATAGCAATATTTTTTCTAATAATATATTGTATAAATAAAACTATGTGACCCAAAATAGCAATAAAACTATAATTAAAATATAAAACCTATTTTGTAATATCACCATTAAACAAAATTATTCTCAACTAATTGTGTTGAGTTCAACATTTTTCTTACTTAATAATGGTTTGTATAGTTTTATAGAATAGTTTTTATAGTTTGTATATTTTAAATCATGAAATTTCACTAAATTCAAACCACATTTCTATGATAAATAAACTAAAACAAAATACTGGCAATTGTAAAACAAAATGAAAAAAATATATATACAACAATATATACACAAAAAGTTAACATACTTATTTGTATAAAAAATATAATTCTTTTAACTAAAATATAAAAAATATAATACATAGCTTAAAGGAATTCAATTAGAAAAATATTTTGTTAAAAGTCTTAAAAATGACCTTATCAGGCTTGGTCGGTAAGCGGGAGCGATCGCTCTTGATTGCTGACCACGTAAATAAAATTTAGTTGCGAAAAGCTGGCCAGATATTTTAGTCTTTTTAAGAACATTTTAAAAAGCAAAAAAAAAAAAAAGTGAAAAAGATTAATTGGACCGATGAGAGACAATTACAAAAAAAAAAAAAATTAGGCAAATAAAATATCTTTAAACGCAAAAAAGCTAAATAAATTAAGTTTAAAACAAATATTTTTGAAAGATCGCTCTTTTATAATTTTTTTTATAATATTAAGCGATGTTTTTTATATAAAGTAACCTCCTTCGATTGTTTAAAAAAGAAACAAATATTCTTTATTAAACAAAGTTTTTAGTTTTATTTAACAATTTTTAATTTTATTTAACAATTTTATTATTTAGCAATTTTTAGTTTTATTTAAGTTAAATTATTTTGTAAATAAAAAAGTTAATTTTTTTAATACCTATTTTATGTTTCACGTAGTTTGAAAAGTTTAACATATTTGAAGCAATTCTTCTTAGTAAGATAAACAAATGAAATAACTAAATCATTGAATTACTATAGAAATTAAATTAATAAGATAGAAATCAACTAAAAAGGTTAAAAACACTTAATGACCAGGAAGCAAAACTGCTTCACAATATTGCTGATGATGTTTAGTGAGTGGGCTTTTTAATTTTAATTAGTATTTAAAGCAGAAAAAAGTATAACCAGTTTTAAGAATGGCAACGTAAGGGAAAAAAATTAGATTTAGTAAACCAATATCTAGAAACTTTTCTTTATATCTAATTATTTGCTATATACATTAGCTATATATGTTCTGTCGTGACCTCAGGCGCGGTGCTTGTTCATCCGTGAGTTACTTTGTTTGCGTTGTTTGTGTTTAGTAACCAGAAACTTCTTATATCCCAGTGGAAAATCGGCTAGCGAATAGCTAGCTATAATCATAACAATAAAGACAGCAATTTGGCCACAAGGATCACTAGCTTTTTTAAGTTAGCAAAAAGCTATCGTTATTTGTAAAGATAAAGACAGACATTTGGTTAAGAGGACAGCCAGCTTAATAAGCCACAATAATAAAATAAAGACTCACTGGCTATTGTAGCTAGCATCATATCGTAATAAAGTTGTTGTCTAAAAAAATTTGATATGTAGCTATCAACCAGCTATAGATTTGTAGATATTTTGTAGCTAGCTCCAAAGCTTCAATATGTAGTTAGCAACATATTGCTACAAAATCACAGTGTTTAAAGTTCGATTATCCTCATAATTATAATAGACTCAACACTAAAAACCGAGTTTTTAAAGATGTTAAAGACATTAGGAAATAATAAAATAGGAAAAAAAAATCGCATTAAAATTGCTATAAAGCTAGCTAGTCGCTAGCTCATTTCTCACCGGTATGTTTGTTACATTATTAGTTTTATTAACTTTAACGGTTATAACTTCGTTGAAAACGCAATTATTATTGTAAGTCTTTGTTTAAATCATAAAAATTGCTTTAAAAGATACATTAAAATAGATAAAAACAGATACACAATATTACATTTTCATAAAGAATACATAATTTTTAAATAAAAGATAAGAATAAACTAATAAAATCTATAAATTATAATAAACTTTTAAAATTTTGAAAATTTAATTAAAATATATTTAAAACATTTATTTTTGTAAACAAATAATATATATTTTTAAAACAATTTATGCTAGAAATCTCAAAGGGTAACAAATCGTGAATAATACATTTTCTAAAACATTTCAACAGAATACTCTAAAACTTTATTTCGCTTAGTTTTTTAGCGTGTTTTTTGAACCAATAGAATTAGTTTGTTCATTAATTTGGCGGTTTTTTAGTGTTTGCGATTATTCTGTTTATTCTTTCACACCAAGATGTTTTGAGAACATTCAAGTTTTTTATGTTTCTACGTATGTTTGTAAAACAAAAATTTTTTGTTTTGTATATAAACTTAAATGTTCTCAAAACGACTAAAAAACCTGGCCAGTTTTTTCCCAACTAAATATAATCTCCGTGGTCAGTATTCAAGAGCGATCGCTCCCGCTTCCCGACCAAGCCTGCCTTATAAGCAACTTGTCATTTACATGAATGTCACTTACATATATTATAAACTTATCCAGCTTTTCATATTTATTTTATTCAACTTTTTATTTAGTTCTAGCGTACTAGCATGATCAGGTGTTTTTCCAAAATCTAGTTTGACATAAATTTCATCATCATAGTGGGGTTTCCATCAAATTTTGTCAGAACATTTTTTCTTCCACGTGTTTTTTTGTATGTTATTAACTGATATAGAACTATTCTAAATTTTATCTCTGAAAAATTTTGTTTGCAACTGTTCATAAACTGGTCGTGTACATACACATGCACAAATCAATTTTCTTATGTTAAATATTAAAAGTACTTTCATTTAGACTTTACTCTAACTTTTTAGCGTTTAAATATCTTATAATTTTCAAAAACAGTCTTAAAGCCTTTCATTCTAAATTTCAGAAAATTCATTCTAAATCATAGGTTAAATGACAAAATGATTTGGAGCTATTTTGAAATGCTTATTCAATTGTTCATTAGTGTATCTGTTAATAGTTCAGCAGACTTGGGTATTGTTCTACAAACTTTTAAAATCCTTATTTTTTTTAAACAAAATTACTTTTTAATTTCATCTAAAATATTAACGGCTGGAAGTTGGGTTTCTCAAACTCTGTGGTAGTTCTCAGAAAGGCTGATTCCATCAACAGCTGTAAAGTATCATAGTAATAACAGTACTATGTTGGGAATGGATTGTGTCCTTGTTCATACTTTTGATGTGCATTATTGAGGCTATATTTGGAGCTTTTTGTTATATAAAAAGGTTTAGGGTTTATCAATAGTAGTAAGGTAAATGCTTGCACTATTCAATAGTGCACTAAGTACTATCTGTGATTTGAGTCATGTTGTTTAACAAATCCAAAAAAGGCTAAAGTACCAAAAACTATAAAACATAAAAAACCATTGTCATCACCAAGTTCTCTAAATCATTCACTAATATTTGTGGTCTTCCAAGTAACTTATCTTCTGTTGACTCTTGCCTCTTGCAAAGTTAATCAGACCTACTTTCTCTTTGTGAGAATAATTAAAGATCATCTATCTCATCTTGTGATCTTAGTGTTGATGGTTATCTTCCATTAGTTCATAAAGACTCCAATAATTACATGCTTGGTCCGGGCATTTACATTTATACGAATTCACCCAATTGTAGGAAAACTAGGTTTTAATCTACAAACTATTCTTTTATAAACCTAAAGACAAAGTTGAATTGTTCATCAATCTCATCTCTTTATTGGACTAATCACATCCTACCTGATATAGCCAACAAACAGGTTTATCCATTGCTTGACATTAGTGTCACTACAGCTTCTGTATATTAAGTGATTTTCTGCTTTCTACAGCTTGTGGTTTGGGCAACATAACTGTTGTAGTCTTGCAGAAGTATTCTCCAGGACTGTGATCTATATTTTAAAACTATTTAACAAGTACTTATCAGAGTCTTGTTTCCTAGCCTGTTGGAAAGGGGCATCTGTTACCCCTATTTTCAAAAATTCTGGATTCGAATTGTCTAACTGTTGTCCCATAATTCATCCTACTATCACAAGCAAGGTTTTTGTGTCTTTGTTTAACAAATGCTAAATCTCTCATCTTGAATCTAATATCTTCTCATTCTATCGCTGACATTTTTGTCAATGGTAATAACCGATAGGTTTTATTGTGCATTAGATGCGGAGAGGTTATGACTATCACTAAAGCCTTTGATGAAATTTGGCGTGCTAGTCTTTTATATAAGCTCTCTTCTCACAGTGTATTAAGTGACATCTTTAAGGCTATTGAATCCTTGATAACAGCACACTTCTTCATTTCCTGTATTTTCAGGGCTTCCTCAAGGTTTTATTCTTGAACCTATACTTTTTTAAATTCACATTAACAATTATTTAATTTATATTAACAAAAGCTCCCAGAAATTCTCACATCTAAGGTGGCATTGTTCGCTGATGATACTACCATTTATTCTTGTCTTGTACCAAGCCAACACTCTCTGATTGCTTCCAGGGGCCATTCAAGCTAACTATTATGTTAATTATTTAGGTGCTTTGAGAAGCCCTAATGGTCTTATCACAGAATATCATATATTAGTATTTAACCAGGAAGTTTATATCTCCTTCCTTACCAATGATGCATATATGGCAAGAGCTGGCTTTGAACCATGGAATTCTAATTCTGAAGCCAGAACTATAACCACTGCAACACGGGCACTTGAGTTTTAAAGTCTTTAAGTCTTTTATCAAGTCTTTACTTTCATTAAGATTAAGTAATAAATCATTTTAAATATCAGCATATAATAATTTTGGTCAACTAGTTAAATCTTTATTCCCTGCTAACCAAGCTGCTACTGAGCTTGAAAGAGTCAGGTAGTTCACAACTAATTATAAAAAATACTCACTAAGTATTTTTTATAATTAGTTGTAAACTTGCTAGACTGCAAGCATTTCTTTTTTTCCAGATATGTTTAATCCATGCATATGTAAATAAAAATTAATTTTTTTAACTTTTACACTGTACACTAGATCATAATCCATTTTGGTTTGTATAAGTTTAATTTTTTTTTCAATTGTGCTTAACTTTGTTGATTTTTTAATCAGGGAGGCCCAAATAAAAGATTTAGAAATAGTCCTATAGCTGAATTAATTTCTTTTCTGGCATGCTTTCATTCCTAAAGCCTATAATTCAGAAAAGATTAGTGATTATTGGTTTATGCAAGATGGTGCTTGCCTGCATTGAACTGCACAAGATTTTAAATGCTTCAGCATCATTTTGGCATCAAATTATTGGATTAGATTCAATTTTGGATTTCAAATGAAATGCTCTCAAAAGGGCTTGATATTTTTCTTGATTATTTTTACATTACTTAGTTGTTTCTGAAGGTAAACATTTCAAAAACTGTATACATTAACCTGATTACTTTTCTTACTATATTTCTGTATTTTCCCTTCTTATTTTTAAATTTTCCATTCAATAATAGTATTTATTTGGACCACCCTGGATTTTGTTTACTCAAGAATTAAAAGTCAAAACTTGATTTATTTTTCTAATAAACTCAATCCAGTCTTTTATTTAAATAACCTGTAATGCAGCTTGAATTAGTGTATTTTTATGCTAGTTTTATTTACTTCATTAATTATGCTATTTTTTAATGAAGTATTATTATCAATATGCTATTATAATTTCTATCTTTATTTTATTTTTTAATCAAGCTGATTTCTGGTCTAGATGCTTTTTACAGAATTGTTTTTAATTCATTATTTATTATTGTGGGTTGTTACATTTGTTTCTTATAATTGTTTTAATATTTTGTTTTTTTATTTTCAGAATATTCTGATCCACTAAAAAACAATGACCAGGTATTTTAATGTCTAAAAATAAGACTTTTATTGTTTCCTGTTTAAGTTGTATTTATTAAAAAAAATTTTTTTTATCTAATCAGTATTTGACATCTCCTCAAAGTTGGACAGTTGAAGATGTTTGTACATGGTTGCGCTCTATAGCATTAGATGACTATGTTGAGGTGTTCACTACTAATGCCATTGATGGAACAGAGCTAATGTGTCTAAATGATGATAGTCTTTCCAATAGTTTAAATATTTGTAAGTAATTAGTAAAATTTAATTTATATATATGTATATATATATATATATATATATATATATATATATATATATATATATATATATATATATATATATATATATATATATCAGGCCTTGTTTTAAATAAAAAATGCTTTATGCAATAGCCTAATGTGTAAATAATTTTTTAATAGCTTAAATTGCTTAATGCAATAGCCTAATGTGTTAATAATAATTTGACATCATAAAATTCTATTTTTTTATTGTTAAAGATGTTAACTTTTTTAAATTACTGCAATAATATTAATTACCGCAAAACGAGTTGAATAATATTTAACTTCTTTTTTATAATTAATATAAGGGAATGTTTTATTTTATTTTTTTAATGTTAGATAATTAACTCTAATATTACACTTTTAAAAATGTTTTATATCAACAAATTTTCCAGGAAATTTTGCTCAAAATTTTTAACAAATTTTTATTGCAATAAACTTACAGTTATTATATAGTTTTATAAAGTTAATTTCTTTTTTTCAAAAATATGCTTTTTGTCATCGTAGTATTTGGGTATATTTGGGTATTTTCTTTAAATATTTTAACAAAAAATATAAAGTACTATAGACTCACAATCAAAAAATACACATATTTCTAGCTTTTACTTCTCTCAACTACAATGTTCACAAAATACAAAGTAAATATGTTCACAAAATACAAAGAATAAAATCTTTTTTAGATTAACAAGTTTTATTGTGTGTTTAAACTGTAGAAGGTTTTAAAGAAACAAAGATTTTTTATATGTAAAGACTGAATGCAAAGACAATTTTAGGGGGACGGTGTCAGGGTTGGAAAAAACCCAGGGTTTTTTAAAAAAAACCCAACCCAAATGGGTTTTTTTGGGTTTTATTGGGTTATTTTGGGTTTTTTGGGTTTTTTTAAAAACCAATCAAAATACCAAATTTTTATAATTGTATGAGTACAATAATTTTTTTTTTAATTTCATAAATTCACCATCCTATTGCTCCAATGACCACTTCAGTCAAGGGAGCAACTCATTTTTTAAAAATATTTTGTCTCAAACCTTAACATTACCATTTTTACTAACAAACAACATTAACAACTAAAATTTTTAAACAAAGGCGCTGTGCGGAGAAATAGATTGAGCACAGTAATTTCAGCAGAGGTAATTTGAACCCCAACCTTCTGGTTGCGAGCCAAATGTTTTACTACTAGTCTACTAGCACATTTTACCTATAGTGCAAAAAGGGACTCCATCAACTATAAATGATGTTAATTAATTGCACTAAATTAAAAATACGTTCAGAATATTTTTGACTAAAAAAAAATCAGTATAAAAATTATTATGACAATTGAGTTACTCAAAGTTGGTAAGACATTATAAATGTTGCAAACTAGTTTTTTATACTAACATGTTCAACATATCATTTCAAAAACTATTTTGCACAAGTTTACAACATGTAATCAACAAGTTTGCAACATGATGTTGCAACCTTATAAGTTATTATGAATCAAGTTGACTATGAACACTTTTTAAACATTTTTGTATCATAGAAGAAAACTGCTAGCCTAATCACTACATTTTTTTTTATCAGAACATTATACTGTCCAGCTTCCTGAAAAAGTTATCCACCTGATCAACTGGACTGGCAAAAAATGGATTTTTGCCTAAACTTTAGTTGTTCTTAAAATATCTAAAATAAATTTGTTAAGAACCATTACAGTGTCTTTGCCACCAAGTTTTTTTTTTCCTTGAAGATGTTTTACCGGCTCAGTTTTGCAATGCAAATTGCAAACTGAATCAAAGTAACACATTATACAGCTCTATTGTGTGTGTTTCTTCATCTTTTAGCAACTTAACTCGATGCTGATGTTAATTTTCAACCCGCTGTTCATATTTACCCTTGTTGGTGGTACATGTTGTAAACTTGTAGCTGATGCAAAATATTCAAAACCTATCAAAAGACAGATGAGCACGAGTGTCATTTTTACCAACAAATCTTGTCTTTGTGAAATGCATACAAGTTTTCAACATGTTCTCTCATTGAATGAGCAAACATGTTGCAAACTTGCTTGCACATAACTTAATTTTTTTTAAGTTTTAAAGTTGTATGTACTTAAGGACAAATCTAGTAAACTGTAGCATTTTTTTTTTGCCTGACAACTTTCCATTTCTAAACTGTAAATAAAGTTTAATAATTTTTATATATAGTATTTTGCTTGTGGCTTTCTACTGAAATTTGCAGTTTACAACATAAGCTTTAAAAAATAAAAGAGCAAATACCAATATAAAGGAATATAGACATTCGAGAGGAGAATAAAGATACTAAATAACTAGTAATGTCTTGAAATTTAGTTAATAGAATGATTTTTATTTCCTTTATAAGTATTTAACTAATTTAATGTTTTAATACATATTTCAATAACATTTATAATAACTTGCTAAATGTTTAAAAATAATAACAAATAACCAACTTGCGACAAAAACAGATTGATCGGTTTTGGGTATATTATAAATACCATTATGTATATAAATACAGTGTTTACAAGAGTAATTACAGTATAAAGGTTGCACTTGCTGATAATAAAGCATTTATAAGTGTTAAAATCAAAGTTATCAGTTGTAAAATAGGACATTTTTAAAAAAACCCAGATATATTTTGGGTTTTTTTGGGTTTTATTGGGTTTTTTTAAGGTGGGTTTTTTTGGGTTGGGTTTTTTTGGGTTGGGTTTTTTTGCCAACCCTGGACGGTGTGTTGGAGTAAGAAGTGTTCCACCCTCACAAAGAAGGTGATTTTCAAGTTATAGTCAGTTTTTGATGAATTTAGTTAGCTAATCGAGTATTTGACATTTAGTTGGGTGAATTTTAGTTTTTAAGGACATTTTTTTTATCTTTAAGAAACCAGTCGGTATTTAAGCATTCGAATAATAACTTGTAGGCCAATTTAAAAGGTATTAAAAAGTGCCTCATCCCTTTTAGGGATGGGGGTGCAAATGTTTAGCCTTAAACAAAGCTTGCTACAGCAATGAACATCAATATGCTGAGCAAATAACAGGATCAAATTTTAGAAAATTTTGAAAACAAATTATCATAGTTGCTACCTATAGTTATGATAAAGCATTTTTCAAAGATGGTTTACTAAAATTTTTATAATCTGCTTCACAATATTTTACCATGAAATTTGAATTTGAGTTGAAAATTTCTGGCAAATTTTCAACCCTACATTTAAAAAAATAAGTTTTTTACCTAACAGTAAAATTAAAGTAATCAAAATAAGTGAAGCAAAAAAAATTAATCAACTTCATATTGCGGTAGTGGTAGAGCACTCGCTTCAAAGTTTAAATTATTCTATAAAAATTTTGTATTTGAATTTTCCAAATTAAATCATGATTATTTGTCGAATCTTGTTTTTCAAACTTCTGATTTTATTTCAACCAGTCAACCATGACCAGCAGGAATTCATTTTGTGAGGTCAAAATAGCAATTTTAGTCATTATATATTAAGGGATTGCAGTAGTGAGAAAAGTTGATATTGTATTCTGGTCGGTATTAATAACCAGTCACTACCCAAGTTATGATATTGAAATTGAAAGTAAGTTTTTTAAATATCAACACTTTCAAAAGTTCTGTATTGAATGGTATCTTTTGATAGTGGTTGATAGTGTAAATTATTGCCACTATCAAAAGAACCTAACACCTTTTTTGGTTAGCCTGCCTAAAAAGAACTTGCTTTTTACAGTATTTAAACCCATTAACTTTACAAATGCTCCACTTAATCAGCAAAATATCAGTGCCATACATCAATAAACCATTTTGATCAGACAAAAAAAATGATTTATTGAGCTCAAATTTATTAAAGAATTAGAAAAAGTATTTTCAAATGGTGTTTTTATTTATACCAGAAAATTTTAATGAAAGTGCAAATCAAAGTCTTCATCAATGTTCTGCTCATTTCCTTTAACTGACCACTTTTTGAAACAGCTTTTGAAATGTTTTATTTAATGTAAACAAGTTTTTCAATTGTTTTTGTTTTTAACAATGTTCTTTTGCACGTTACAATGTTTCCTGCTTGTGAAAACACTCTCTCAGATGACATTGATGAGGCTGGAATACACAAAACCCTTTTTTGCTACTCCTGCCAAAATAGGTAGTTTGAGGAGAGTTTTTTTACCTCCTTCAACAATCTGGGCTTGACTTATGTTTTTATCCGCAGCTTCACCAATTTTCTCCACTGCCAATGCTTCAGTTGTAGTTTCAGATGATCACTTTTTTCTGTCATTTTCAATACTGTTAAAAATGTCTTTGTGGCAGCCTCAAAGATGAAATTTTAGTCCTGTGGTCTGCCTAGCTTGATTCTTATTTTTGATGGGCACTGTTTGTATTGGGCAACATCTTTGCTGTGAAACTCTTTTTGAAAGAATTCTTAATAAGGACTTACTCTTGGCATTATCAACTCTTAAGATAAAATATCACTTTCTTCAAAACAATAAAACAATGGTATTCTCACAATTTTAAACAGATTTCAACTTGTTTCTCAGCGCAGCGGCCTTGTTCGTCAAGGTTCGTGTTTTGGAGTTATAGAGTTGAGAGAGGGTTATAACCGCTATTAAGTAGCCTCCTCGTCTGTAGTGGCCTTTTTTGGCCTTTTCAGGGGTGAATTAACACAAAAAAAAAAAAAAAATCATTGAAATAATAATAATTGAGAAAATAAATATTAAAAAAATTATTTTTAAAAGAAATAATTTTTTTAATATTTATTTTCTCAATTATTATTATTTCAATGATTTTTATGGTTTAAAAAATTAAACCATAAAAGTAATTGAAAATTAATTATTTTATGAAATTTACTTAATGCATTAGAATTTCTCTAATTCGAATGTTATTGGGAAAAATAAAAGTTCAAATTTAAGAGATTTTTAAATTTTAGAAAATTGTTTTTTTCTTAAGCGCTTTTCACTGTGACTTTGCATTCAATTGAATTATGGAGGTTTTCTAATTTAGG